GTACATTAATCGCACGCCACCGGGCTCCCGCGACCACCTTTCATCATTACACTATGTGTTGTATTGTAAAGCATCCCACATATTCCAAGCCATGGTTTCTACCACCGTAGATCTTGGTGAATCGTTTCAGTAAACAACCAAAACAACAGCTGTTCACAAAGGTATGCGTCGGAAATGATGTCTAAGAAGTAATAGGATACGTCTGACCGCTTTTCAGACCACATCTTAAACATCTGCTTTTTTCATGTCCTGCATCCAAAAACTAATTCATCTCTCTCCTTTAACTTTTGCAAAAAATGACGGTTTTTCCTTCAGGTCAAATACCATTTGTTTTCTTCCGCATGTTCGGTAAATAAAGTGCTGTCTAACTGCGTTTTTACAAAACTATGCATATATCTAGTTTTTTTCGCTGCACGAAGAAAAAAATAGATCCAAAATCACACCCAGAAGTTGCACGCCCCTTTGGGTAAGCAACTTATTCAAATATCTGCAAGTTGGCATTTCTTACTTGTGAGCAAAGAGTAGGAAGCGATTCCCTAAGCAAGTGACTACTGACTACCTGCTTGGGTCCAAAATCCGTATAAATCAAATATTATTAACCTTATCCTGTAAAGACCGAAGTTGTACTTTCCATTCCGCCGACCACATGGTTGCTTTGCTGTGCGCTAAGAATGGCAAATAAGCTAAAATTGTCCTGAAACGTCCCCTCTGCCAATCTCCTGATAGAAATTTTTAAATTACGACTGGACATTATCACTCCTGAGTCCTGCCAAGTGGCCAAGTTTGTTTACTTCTCTTACGAGCTTCCTTTTCAAACCACATCAAGAGATATACAGTAGGTTTACTAACTCAGGATATGTTGACCGAAATTCTGAAATGCGCTTTGGACTCAAAAAGATTATGTGAGTTAGGGCTGGCATACCGACAATAGTTCAACCTTATCCCATTATAATCGATTTATTCCAGAATCCCAACCTTCGAAAGAGCTCCTTTTTGGCCGTCTGCAGAAATTACACTCAGGAAAATATGATTACCTAATTAACATTGAATTTTATCATTGATTTTCGATGCCCTTATAAGTTTAAATGTATTTCATGGAAAGCATCAACAAAAATAATTATTCTGTCACTCGTCTGGTAAACAATTACGTCGTTTTTAAATTTAATACTTAATGGAATGTCATGATTCGGTCCTAAAAAATCTTTCCAAATATCCGAAAAATTCAGAAACCGACATGTCATTACAATCGCATTCAGAGTTTTGAAACTAGAAGCTTTATATTCTTGTGTACGGAGAATCGTAAGTTTCTTTACGATATTAAAAGGAGGTCGTATAGGGGCTCATAAAATATATCAGCGAATTTGCGCATATTGTAAGTTTTACAAACACCATCAGCAAATGAAGAGACACGATGATTTATGAAAAAGCATCTCACGGTCTTAAAAAACCTTATGATTGGAAACATTTTGAAACTGAATTATACCTTTGCTTAAAGTATAACATTTGCAGAAGACGTTCTTTTGTACCGATTGAGTAAAATAACAAATATTTTCATGCACTTTTTTCCTTGAAATATATTTGCATTTATAAGGGCATGAAATATCAATAAGAACATTTCATGCTACACATGTGGTCATTTTTTGCCGTGTGTAATTTTTGCAAGCGGCCAAAAAGAAGTTGTTTCGAAAGCCAACATCCCGACGTAATTAAATAATTATCAGATTATGTTGCACGGTTATTACTGTTATAACCCCACCTTAAGCAATCTTATCTAAACTATCTTAACTAAGTTTTCCTGTCATTTGCTTTAGCACAAAAGTGGTCTTGGCACATATGTATACCGTTAGGGCAATTTAAACTGTCCTGGATTTCTTAAATCGCCTAAACCTGATAAAATCATCCCCAGTTTTGTTAGAAACAACATCTAAAACATAAAAAGATAGCCTTATATTAAACAATAGCTAAATCTTATTTTTGAGAAATGCTAAATAAATTCAAACCGGCAGAAATTAGCAAAGCAAGCTTAACTTCATCGTTCATATTTCGTGTCGAAAATTCCATTATATGCCTGCGTGTAATGTTGGTTTACTGCAGATTAACTGGATTTGTCACAGTAATTGTGCGTTTTTGTGGCATCTGTTTATCTTAAAAAAATATGTCTTCTAATCAGGTTGCCCACGGTTTTCACGCACTCCGATTTTTTTCCGACTGAACGTTGCCTAATTTGTAAAGTTACGTTTCGAATGCGCGATTGTATTACCCTTTTAGCAGATCGATTAATTCGTACCATTTGACGAATTTCATGATTCTTGGCGCACAGAGCACAGGATCTAAAATTTTGAAGATGGTAATCTAAAAACTCTTTTTTGTATAGTAACTATTTTAGCATAAATAAGGAGTCAGTAAGGGTGTTTTGTATGTCTAAACAATCGCAAACGCATGGCAAATACTAAAGCTATTGTTTCATGGCATTATGGGGGAAATTAAGCGGAAAATCTATAATTTGACGTAAATCGATAATTCTTACTACAAAAAAGAGCTTTCAGACAGTCCTACAGGTAAGGAATGACACCTTATAAACATTTGGTACCTGCATGTTTGACTTTTCTGACAAGTTCATATTTGCTGCTGAGGCGCCATTAGGTGCGCTTAAAACGGACAATTTTGAGCCTAAATAATGAATGGAAATATGCTTCACAAATCCCAAAGTAAAAGGAATTTTCTTGAAATATCTGCATAAGGTAGGGAAAGATGTGGTTTGGTAGCCCCACCTGATGGACACAATACTGCTAGGGTTGTGCTGAAGGATGAAGGTTAGTGGTTATGGTTGGGAGTAAGGGGTTATGGTAAGGCGTTAATGTTAGGGGTAAGGGTTTAGGATTAAGGGATATAGTAAGGGATCAGGGTTAGGGGTAGCGCAACTATTTCTCAACCATTTGAAGTTCAACCGCGCACTCCCAATAGCGTTCCTTTTGAATAAAACTACTTGACCTCGTCGACCGTGCGTTACCCCGACCCCACCGCTAAAACCCCCTATTACCACCTGTCCCGTATTAGAGGTGACTGGTGTTTGTTTACTTCAGGTAGGGCTACATAACCACATCCGACCTATAATAATAAGCACGCGTTACTGAAACAAGACAGAAGTTTCAACCTCCAAACTCTTGGAGTACTGGGCCTGCATTGCCAGCTTACTTTTAGCAAATAATCACTAGCCGTATGGTGTCAGTTCCGGCAACAGAAACGACAACTACCGCCTTCTGCCTTTCTGAGTCAACGGACCAGTGAATAACGCGAGAAATGTTTTCAAGATGGCTGACTTTTGCAGCACCTGCCTCACGCCATCCTCACTCAGTTACGTTGTTATAGTGACAGTTCAGCGTCTGATGAGACAAAGCAGCCCGTCTGTGTGTGTGTAACGAACGACGTGGTCTCTATTTCATTAAGATCTACTCATGTCTTACATAAATGAGACCGACATAAAGGCCACATTAAGAAAACGTCATGGCATCCTGTTCTGTAAGAACTGAATTATCATATTAATTGGTAGCCTTGTAAGCCACCGGTTCCGTATTAGAGGTGACTTTGTTTGTTTACTTCAGGCGGGGCAATATAACCACAGCCAACTTAAAATAATAACGACGCATCACTGAAACAAGACAGACAGGAACGACAACGACCGCCTTTGGCCTTTCTGAGTCAACGCAGCGGTGACTTACGCACAATTTTTTTCTGGAGGGCAGACTTTTGCGTCACCTACAGCACTCTCTCTTCACTGAGTTACGTTGTTATAGTGGCAATTCAGTGTCTGGCGAGGCAAAGCAACCCATCTGTGCGTGTAACACACGACGTGATCCCTACTTTATTAAGATCTACTCATGTCTCACGTAAATAAGATGGACATAAAGACCACATTAAGAAAACAGCCATGACATTCTTTTCTGCAATCTTGACAACGACCAACCTGCCACATCAATTGGTGACCTTTTACGCCAAGTCTTTTAACGCGTCTTGGCGCTTCAAACTTATTATTAGTGAGAAATGCGCTGCTTTTACATTGCGTGCATGGTCAATCTTACCCTCTCTCTTCCCTACCCCACGCAGCAGTCAACTCCCCGGGGACCATCAAGCAGTAGGGCGCAGAGACTGCCAATTCATGACAACCTGGTTCCACCGACAAGTACCAGGCCAAATGTAGGACATGATTCCCGCATAGACTGAAATGTGCGCTTTTTGACACACGACATTTCGCTCACCGTATTGCAGCTGGCAAAGGGAATCGCATGCTCGATGCAGGAGTGATGCACCGGATCTTCTGGAGAGAGGTTGTGTGCGTGCGTGTTACGCAGTGGGTTCATGTGTCGCATATGTGGTATGCGTGTGTGCAGGTTTTGTCCCTTAAAATGCACCATACAGCAAATGTGCTGGACACTGGGCTACATCTGAATCAAGTAGGCGCTATTGGGGATGTGCTCCCGCAAGAAAAGCTAACATTACGAGTGTGACGGCGGATTTAATCGCAAGCGCTCATCATGCCCATTTGGATCTCTGTCACCCTCCCTATTTTTCTCGTGCGAAATTCCGATCAGTGCAGGTTGTGCACCAGGTAATGTGGTGGTACGCCTAGGTACGTGTTTCCGCCGTGCCAGCCATCTGCCTCCTCTCCCGCCTCTTGACTCTGTCTTGACACCGGGTCTAGGTGAGGAAGAAGGCGAAAATGCTGCGCAAGTCCACTGTCACTGTAAACTAACTAACGCACAAATCACCGTTTCTGCTCTCACGCTGCTGTGCAGCAGACGATGAGCACCACCGGCAACGATGGCAGAACTATGCGTGCGCAGATACTGCAAGAAGTGATGATGGGGATTGTGTTGTCTCAGCGAGAACTGTCACGAAGGCAGCAACTAAATGTCCTAGAATAGTGTGAGAAGCTGAAACATGTGTGACGGGTGGATCTTTTGGGTTCCTGGAGCGGGGACGAAGGTCGTACTGCGTTAGATTTACGAGCGAATGACCAGGCCGATCTGCAGTGTGAAGGTGCTATCGTAAAGGGGGAAGGTTGGGACTAGATTGACATCTGTTGTGGTGAGAAGGAATATCGGAGTGTGGGTGAAAGAGTTTTCTTCAGCGGGGTTACTGGTGGTGGCCACGGTCTGTGAAGGAAGTTATGGGTTGAGGAGAAGGTTTGCGGACCCGAAGAGGTACAACCACTGCGATGCATACCACTCAGCCAGTCTGAAAGAAGGCAGCGAAACGTGGGTTTTGTTTTATTCGTTCACAAGTCACAGCCACCGGGATACGCTTAAGACACCTTTCTTAGTCCCTACCCGCCGGGGTGAGGGTAGGGAGTGCCTCATCAAAATAATGCTGTAAAGTTATCCCAGGCAGCTCTCGAACCCCGCTATGGATCATGAATTTGTTTAGCGGGTAGATGACTTGAATTAATTGTGTCAGTCTAATGGGATCACTGTCGCTCCTTCCGCATGATTGCTTTATGTTAGGGAGAGGGCTACCGTATGTGGAAACACACCGCCTACCTTCATTTGTTTGTCATGTTATTTCCTTTGGCAACATAGAGATTCGGAAGGTCGAAGTTAAGAGTTGGGTTTCAGTTTAGGACAGCGTGGTACATTAATCGCACGCCACCGGGCTCCCGCGACCGCCTTTCGTGCTTGCACTATGCGTTGCATTGTAAAACATCCCACATATTCCAAGCACATAGTTTCTAACACCGTAGATCTTGGTGAATCGTCTCAGTAAACAACCAAAACAACAGCTGTTTACAAAGTTATGCGTTGGAAATGATGTCTAAGAGGTAATAAGATACGTCTGACCGTTTTTCAGACCATATCTTAAACAACTGCTTTTTCATGTCCTGCATCCAAAATCTAATTAACCTCTCTCCTTTAACTTTTGCAAAAAATGACGTTTTTCCCTTCAGGTTAAATACTATTTGTTTTCTTACAAATGTTCGGTAAAGAAAGTGCTGCCTAACTGCGGTTTTTGAAAAACTATGCAAATATCTTGTTTTTTTTCGGTGCACGAAGAAAAAAATAGATCCAAAATCATGCCCAGAAGTTTCACGCCCCTTGGATAATCTACTTGTTCAAATATCTGCAAGTTGGCATTTTTTACTCAGTGAGCAAAGAGTAGAAAGCGATTCCCTAAGTAAGTGACTGCTGACTACCCGCTTGTGTCCAAAATCCGTATAAATCAAATATTATTAACCTTGGAAATGTGCAATGATTTTACCGTACTAAGAACACAGGTATTAGCTAAAAGCCCAGACACGCGTGTTTCGCCGAGCTTATGCCGCTGTCTGACGCAGCTGCGAGGGGTTCAGCTCGTCAGTGGGTCCCCCAGCTTTCCTGTGTGTTTTCTGCTGTAAGAACTCCACTTTTAACTTGCCGTGTTTAATTTCCGTGGAAATTAATGCGCGAACTTGGAGTAAATCTTGCGAAACGGGCCTTTCCAGGCACGCTCCAAATTTTGATATGAATATTTGAGCTGAAAACCATCAGCTACTGCGGAATAATCGCTTTATATTCAAAAACTGCCAACAGGAACCCAGTAGTATATAATTGTGCAATGATTTTACCGTACTAACAACACAGGTATTAGCTAAAAGCCCAAAAGTTTATTAACCTTAATCTGTAAAAACCTCAGTTGCACTTTCAATTCCCCGAGTCCATGGTTATTTTTCTGTCCAATAAGAATGGCAAATAAGCTTAAATTGCCCCGAAACATCCTCTTTGCCAATCGCCTGATAGAACTTTTTAAATAACGACTGGACTTTATCACTCCTGAGTCCTGCCAAGTGGCCTTATATGTAACCCTTACGGAAACCTTTAAATTATGGCAGAGGGACTAAACTTAACGAGTCTGGTTCCCCAGCTCGTCGTCAGACTTTTGGGCAATGTACAAAAACAGTTAACTATTTAACCGTGTCAAACAAGTTTCTCTTGACAATGGCAAATGTTTAATCAACATAGCATAGCCATAGTTTTGGATAATTTTTTGGAAGGGCTATAGACTCCAGTTTCTGCATTATGGCTTCTGCTAGAAAGCCAGATATAGGCGAACACATAGGAGCACCTTTCAGTTGCCGATAACATTGGTTGGCGAAAGAAAAGTTGGTTTCTAGACAAACATCAAGTAGTTGGAGTAGAGCATCGGCAGGCACATCAGTGGTGTAGGTCTGAAGGAGTTTTTCGGTGCAGTGTCTCGCTAAATCTAATGGAATCGAGGTGAAGAGGGAGACTACATCGAATGAAACCATTAGCTCGTCGGTAGCAACACTTACTCCTTTTAATTTGTCTAGGAACTCATTTGAATCTTCAATGGAGTTCTCAGAGTCCTTTGTAAGTGGATGCAGATGGTGAAATAACCACTTAGAAATCTTGTAGTTTGGTGCACCGATTAGGGAGACTATCGGTCGCAGTGGAATACCTACTTTGTGAACTTTAGGAAGTCCATATATTTTGGCAATTGTGGGTTCGTCTTGTTTTAAGGATTTAGCCAGAACTCCTGAGATTAATTTCTTTCCTGTAAGGCGCTTTAGTGTTTTCTCGATGCATGAATTCTCCGATTTTGTGGGGTCAGCATCTAGGGGTTCGTAGGTGGATTCGTCTTTTAATAGTGTCATCATCTTCTCTGTGTAATCCGTCTTGTTCATTATGGTGGTGGAGCCTCCTTTGTCAGCGGGCAGAATGATGATGTTTTCATCAGCTTTAAGTGAATTTAGGGCTTTCTTTTCATCGCCAGACAAAGTTGAGAACTTCTTTCTGTTCTTCAAGGCCTGTACCGTACTGTTGCGAATTGTAAATTGTTCTTCCTCTGTAAGACTTTCACCTGGCGGACCCTCCCATACATCAAAAATGTATCTGAACTCGTCGAAAGACAACTGAAAAAGCATCAGATACACGTAGCACACCAACCTACAACCACCTTGCGTACACAGCTTGTACACCCTAAGGACAGGGTTGGCTATCTTGATAGGAAAGGTGTTGTCTACAAGATACCATGTTCCAGTTGTGATGCCGTGTATTGTGGCCAAACTGGGAAATCCGCCTCTACCCGCATACATGAGCATCAGTTAGCGGTGAGGAGACGAGATCATTTATCCCAGGTGGCTATGCACACACTGGACACAAATTTGCATGGGAGAACACCCGCATTGTTGGCGCTTGCCCAATAAGGAAAGGCCGCGAATTCCTGGAAGCAATGCACTCAGATGAGGCATGCATCAATCGGCATATCGATTTAGATGCCACATACAAATTTCTCAAGGACAAATGGAAGCGAGCGCAGCCAATGCCGAGGGGATGACGAAATCGTCGACGCGCATTGGCGCAGGCTTCGGCCAACCATAGAATCACTTGTTTGACACGGTTAAATAGTTAACTGTTTTTGTACATTGCCCAAAAGTCTGACGACGAGCTGGGAAGCCAGACTCGAAAATTTACTCATTAAAGTTTATTCCCTTCCCAAAGAGTCTTACTTATTGTCAATATATATATATAATATAATAATATAAATAATGTAGGTTTCTGAGTTAGCCGTTCCATGCCGCCGCATTAAGCTATTAAGTAATTTGCTCATAGTCTGAGATGCATTTTTTTAATCATCTGGTTCACGGTGATACACTTTGATTGATTTCGTTTTATAACACTTGTCTGCATGCAGTGATTGCAAAAAGACTGACTTTCTGTCAAATTATCAAAACGATTAATTCCAGCCGATCCTAGCTAACGTGGCGAAACGTCTCTTTTAACCTCGAACGTTGCTTGAAGATGGATATTAGTGCAGAAGACAAGTGATCAAAACTTTCTCCATACCTTTAATTCGCCTGAGTACATTATTCGATTAACAAGTCTTAGTTTCGAAACATTTCTTCGCAGCACTGAAAAAGAATGAGAATAAGAGAGCCCCACTCATGTGACCACGCATGTGAACTTTCTTGGGAACTACTGCCATTCAGCAGTATGGTTGACATGCTGAAAACTCACCAGTTCTCATTATCCACCGAATTGTACTGTAATTCGTCATACAGTTAGCCTAACATAAAAAGACTAACTCAGAGGAAGTCTTCTGTTTTCGAGAACAGTACTGGCATAAACAAGAACACTCTACCAAAAACAGCTTCATGACTTAGGGTGTGTCATGCATTTTTTCCTATTGACAGGTTTCAGGCGCTTACAGTGTCCAATTACAGGGCCAAACCAGCCTTATAATTAAACCTAATGAAGTTGAGAGTGCATTCTCTGGAGAAAAATCCGCATTAAAGATGTTAATAAAGATGTTCTATGGTCCGTAAATAATTTGGTAACAACCGTTTTAATGTTTGGACTATGTGTGACCTGACCAGACAAGGCTTGGTCTAGGGAAGGACGCGAACCGACGACCTCTCGAATAACAAACCGGTGCTTTTCAATCTGAGCTTTCAGAAACTGTGGGAACGTTGGAACCTCCCCCTGTCACAGAATCCGAAGGCATGGCGCAAGGGACCTGAGCGCGTGTCGGGGCGCGGGCTGGTAAGCTGAATTTCTTTATTTAAAATTCGGTTGAACAAGAGAAAAGGTATTTGCCTATTTCATGTAGCCTTGTTCTAAATTCCCAATTTTCTGCCTTGGCTTTAACCCTAATCTCTACCCTCAGCACTGGCGCTGATCTCCCCTAACTCTAACACCAATCGTAATCTCGATTCCCCGAAATTGGGTGCATAGTCACCTGTAATACGGGATACTTTTTCATAATCCCATCTACACCAATTTTTTGACGTAGTAATTACTGCTTCTAAAGGTTTTCCCAACGACTTTTGTTAGATTGTGAGCTTCCTATCCGGTAAACCCCCAGTTTGAACTGCCCCGCTAAGTCCGTAATGATGAGTCAACACAAAATTTTTTTGCAAGCAAAATAAGGCAGGTTCCTGAAAATATAATTAGACGTCAATATAATGGTCAGTTTCTCAACACTGCGTCCAAATGTTCAAGTTCACGTGACGTATTTCGAAAATGGACTTTTGGAAGAAGTATGCAAGCCGTCATCTTTGGCGGGATATAGTGTGGAAAGGTAATTCAAAACGCGTCAGTTCGCCATATCAGGCAATGGGTCTAAAGTGGAATTTGCCAAGGTCGGTAGCCATAGCATTCCATTCCCTAGAAGAGTGTCGCTTCACATTAATGCAGAAAACAGATGATTATCTGTTGGAGATATTGGTACCCAAACTGACCTTAAAAACATGAAAGAATGGAGCAGTGGTTAGTCTGCAAAATATGTACAGTCCATCCGCATGCACAATGAACGCGCTCCAAAACCATTAGCTTATGCACGGACCATAAATAACTGGTCTTAAAAGGTCATTTTGTTTAAATGGGAACGTCATTCTTCCTCCGTATGTTGAATGCCATTAGAACTTTTCGGTGCGTTATTGCGTCATTCGATGTCGATGAGAATCTCAATTATCCAGAGGTAGCAGTCGTGAAACGTGTGAAGTGTGGGACCGCTGAGTATCTACCTCGATCTCTCTTCCTACACTGACGTTGGGGGTGTGAGTACGGACTTATGTAGCCGAATCCCTGTCTATGATTGCCCCACACGTGCGATTTTCGCAGACATCCAAACCGACGCTACAACAAAGGGTTTTAGATATCACGTGAGTAAAGGGCTCGCAAAAGTCCTCATTAAGGATATTACAGCCCAAACCATACTCGGGTGAGAGTTGAGTTATCATGTCAGTTGATGGGGATATAAAGCCCGACTTTTAACGCGTCATAAGAGTTCCAATTGAAACTAAACGATCGAAGTCGCATGTCACGCTGTATTAGGCATATTTACGATGAGAGTTAATTGCATTTTTGCTTGCTATCTTATCCTCGTTCATGTCACTGGGTTGGAAAAGCGAGAGTCTGCCAAGAACACTTCACAACATTTAGGAGAAGCCGACTTTTGCAAAAAAACGATGTTTAGACTGTCTGCTCAAAAACGCTTCGGTGCCTCTAATTTGATGAGATTATTTTTCGCGTACGGTTGAATACGGTTAATCACGGGAGGAGTATCGAAAACCATATTGAGAGTTGTACACATAGTTGTATTACCGCTCGGCAGAATATGGCTGTAAAGCGCATTTAGACGCCCATATGTCCGTTGAAAAAATTGCTGTGTTTCTTGAGAATATAAGACTTATATTATATAGCTGTGAGGCGTTTTGGACTGGAGAATTCTGTTGCGTTAAATCACGGCCCTTTTTAATTAATTTTAAAAACTTTCCAAAAGCATATGATTAAACAGCGGCCGCCTTGCGTAACCTTCTGGTAGATTTTTATTAAATAAACAAACTTTACATTCTATACTCTCAGTGAACAAAGTGTTCGATGCTTTACGTCGAGGGAGCTTACATTTTGACAGACTGCACTTAGTCAAACACCCACGTATGATAGTCGACAATTTGCATGAAGAAAATTATTTTAAAGGGAGTAGTTTCAGTGAGCGGACATTGTAGGTCACAATATGAAGGTAAAGTGTTCAGGCCAATTCAAGTCGAACTTGCCAGGTTGAGTTAAACGTACATATTTCAAATCTAAATAGGCGCTCTTTTGGCTTCACCTTCAGTAGTCACTGTCCACAGCAAATTGCTTATAACTTCTGCTGATGTTGACAGATTAGAGACCGGTAAACAGAATTTCGTCGGCTACAGCATCACCCACAAATGCAAGAGAGACCGGAACAGCCATTTCTGGCCTATTAGCCGTCGTCGGCCAGCGGTCTTCAACGCCTACAGGCAGTCATTGCCGTCAGTGCTCTTCAACCGTCATCTGAATTAAAGAACGAAATACCATCAAAGGAACATAAAGCTCTCTGCCTGAGGTTTCGGATTTTCACTCGAACCCATCATCCGAGACAGTCACGGGCAAGAGTAGTAGCTGTTTGACGGTTGTTACCGACGATGTCCACCGTGTGTTCCACAGCAGGGTGAGAGCAGGGCCGGCGACTTGTTTGTGAATTAGCTTATAGTAATAGTAGAATTTACTGGCATCTACCGCACTCTCTTTTCCTCCTCAACCTTGGCCCGGTGTCATGACCAGGTCAAGGGCACCGGAGGTGGGAGAGGACGCAGGTGGCTGGCGCGGTGTAAACCCGCACCTGAGTATACCGTCATACCCCATTTTCCACAACATACATTGACCAGGATCTTACATAACGAGAGGGAAGGGGGGACGATTCGGACCCTAATTGAGTGGAAGTGTCATAGTGGTCACATTGCGAAGGAACCATTGCAGCCTGACTTTCAGTCCTCCAGTCAGCCTCTCAGCACAGACACACAGGGCTGACTGCAAGGCCTGTCAGTTAGCAACATCCTAGTTGCGATGCTCAGCATACGGTGATAGTTTCAGGCTCGGATCACACATGCAGCAGAGGAGTCGCAGAGAGAATGAGTTGAGAAACACGGTTAGTTTACGTGAAACGTGCCATTGCGTGCTTGCGTTTCGTGATGCTGGGTGTGGTCATGGGAACTCCAAGTACTAGTAAAATAAGAGACGAGTCTCAGGAAGCAGTCTTGAAGAAGGAGACACGATCACCGAGTCAAGAGCTTTATAAGCCTGACGTTTCGGATTCCTGCTCGAACCCATCATCAGAGACAAAAGCAGATACGGGTGGTTCACGCACAAGCGGCCGCAGTATTTATAGGATGCAGTCGCCATGCTGCCACATACCTATGAATGTTCACGGCTCCCCCCTTCAGCAGGGATCGTTGCACGTGGTTTGATGACTGTTTGACGGCCGACATTTTCGTCGTTAATTGCTGCAATCCCATCACGTGCGTTGGATTCTCGTGTGCTGATTGCTCGACCATCTGGCGCACCGACCCTGGTGTTGGGACAAGTGTTCATATGTCAGCCAGCTGTCTGATGATGG